ATGATTTTAGTTAGTGGAGAGTTATCGAATCTAGTTCGCATGAGAAATTCTGCAATAGGAAAGTCAGCACCTTCTCTATCAGTTCATGTGGTTAGTACATATTGATTAATATAGCATATATTTTTTATATACTTGCTATTAACATTTATTGTTGTAGCGTGATTTCAACATTTCTCGTCGTGCTGCTAAAGCAGCTCATCGCAAATCTCTCATAACAACGACGTCACCTACTTTACCACGTTGCCATTCACCTTTGTCAGGTATATAATTTTTATATTCTTTTAGTTATCTTTTAATCTTTTTATATCTTCTAATTATCTTTTAAAGAGGTATTTCTTCTTTTTCATCATCTGAGATACAGAGATGTTTTTATAAAATAGTTAAACACAATACATGTGATTTTGTTAGACTTAGAACGTATTGAAATATTTCCATATCCTATCATCTAGTGTCCTTAATAAATTAGATTTTTAAAAAATTCTGCATCTTAGCACAAATTTCGCTTATACTTAGTGAAAAGAGATTTTTTTATTGTTTACTTGATTATATTCAACGATATAGCAGATTAATTTTTTTCTACTGCTTGTTTCCCGGTATAGCATTCGTCCCGATTGTAGGCAGTCCCCTAGAGAGTCCTAGGATGTCATCCAGTCCACACTTTGCTTTTGCTCCAATTAAAAGGTACCTACTCTACACTTATACTATTTGTCTTAGGACATTTATATTAGTCCGATCTGATTGCTCAAGTAGGTAAGATGTCGTCATTGAAAGTGCTATATTTTCTGCGTGTTATATAAATAAAAAAGAAAATGGTGAAACAAAAACTGCACTGTGTCAAGTTTATGAAAAAAAGTAAAAGTCTGATAAGGAAATGCTTGTAAGTTTTCGTATAATATAAGCGTCGAAACTTTAGGCAATGTTTTAATATCTTTTTATAATTTATTAATTTGTATAAACTCTCTTGAAAAGATGTTATTAAACGAATATAATATTGCGATATTCAAGAATTGGCGGAGGTGCTACAGGAACTGGAGATGGTAGAAGATGGTCAGTTGCTAGTTTGCCGTCTAGTGGCTATGGAACAACACCTGGCTCCAGTAATGTTTCGGTAGATTGATTAGTATGCGCTGAATATTTCCTGTCTGTGCTAATCATGATTATAATTTGTCATTTGTATTCCACTAGTCACAATACTCGAGCCAAGAACGTTTGCATCAACTGCCAAATGTTCCCACTAAAGACGAACTACGCATGTTATCTTGCCATTTCTCCAAGCCCGGGACACCATGCTCCTCACATCCAGGCTTCCCAGGTTCTAGCATATCTAGTATTCCGGGTAGTGCGTCTCTTAGCCTTGAAGAGGAAGGCCGTCGGTCACCGTTACATCGTCCACGTTCCCGAAGTTTGAGGTACATTTCATAAATATGTAAATGTAATTGTATATGCAAGCTCTTTATAAAATCTCTTTAATAATAGTTATTCAATGATTTTTAATTGATAGTAAATTATGTTTAATAAATAAACTGACAAATATGAAATATATTAATTTGTAATTTTTATGCAATTGCAGCAGTCCGAGTCGATCACCTGTTCTTGACAGCGAAATTGTTATGATGAATACTTTGTATAAAGAAAGATTTCCAAAGGTATTATCGCGATTAATTATGTTCATTATTAATGAATGTTTATTAAAATAGTCGATTATACTATACTAATTAACATTTTCAGGCAACACAACAAATGGAAGAGCGACTAACCAATTTTATTAATGAAAACAAAGAGATAGATGAATACGAGATAATGGCCAATATGACGCAAGATTCATTACCAATTTTACGCTTTGTACATCATCAAGTAATCGAAATGGCTAGAGACTGCTTACAGAAATCTCAGGAAAAATTAATTACAACGAGATATTTTTATGAGATGAGTGAAAATTTGGAACATCTGTTAATGGAGGTACGCATATATTGTGATTTCATTGAAACATATAATAATTACTGCAATTCTTTTACAGACAAAAGATAAATCTTTAGAAGCGGCAACAAGGCTAACAGGATTGATAAAGAAGCTACTATTGGTTATATCGCGTCCTGCTCGTTTATTAGAATGCTTGGAATTCGATCCCGAGGAATTTTATCATTTACTCGAACAAGCTGAAGGCCAAGCTAAAGTCAATGCGGGAATAAAAGCTGATATTCCTCAATATATTATTACAAAACTATCATTAAATAGAGATCCTATTTCTGGTATGTATTTTTATTTTTCTAAATCAACGACGTAATATGTGTATGTGTGTATATATTTCTCAAATAAATTATTAAATCTTTTTATTTGAACTTATTACAGAGTTACAAGAAGACTTAAATAAATTGGAGGATTCAGCGAGTTCTAGCGATAGTAATTTACAAGTAACATCGAGTCCAAATAAAGATGATGACAAATGTCAACGTATTCCGTGCGAAAGTGATTACGAAGTATTGAAGCTCATTAGCAATGGCGCATATGGTGCAGTCTATTTGGTTAAAGAAAAGACCACCCGACAGAGATTCGCTATGAAGAAAATTAATAAGAATAATTTAATGCTGCGAAATCAGGTGGAACAAGTGTTTGCCGAAAGAGATATAATGAGCTTCACAGATAATCCATTTGTAGTCTCTATGTACTGTAGTTTTGAAACTAAGGTATGCCTGATACTCTTCTAATTTGCACTATAGATTTTACGAAATGAGCTACAAAATTATTAACAATATTTTTTCAGAAACATTTATGCTTAGTAATGGAATATGTAGAGGGAGGAGATTGCGCGAATCTTTTAAAAAATATAGGTCCACTGCCACCAGACATGGCAAGATTTTATTTCGCAGAGACTGTCTTGGCTGTTGAATATTTACACAGTTATGGCATTGTACATCGGGATTTGAAGCCTGATAAGTAAGATCGTAAAATAGAAAAAGAGCATACATTAGATTTGTTCTTTTTAACTGAACTTTTTGTACTATTCATTTTCTCTATTTTTCTCTTACGTTGAAAAGAAAAAAAGTGAAGTGAATAATGCGCAAAAAGTTTAGTTAAAAAGAAAACATATCAATTAAATATACAAGCAAAATACTAATAATTACAAATTTTATTTTTTTTTAGTTTACTCATCACTGCCCTGGGACACATCAAGCTTACTGACTTTGGCCTCAGTAAAATGGGTCTAATGTCCTGTAAGTACGAAAGTTTTAATTGTAATATAATTAAGATCAAAATAAAAAATGAATAATAATTATCCGTTTTTAATTTCAAGTGGCAACAAATCTTTACGAGGGCTATATCGATCGAGATACACGGCAGTTCTCAGACAAGCAAGTATTCGGCACGCCAGAGTACATTGCTCCGGAAGTTATATTACGTCAGGGTTATGGTAAACCGGTTGACTGGTGGTCCATGGGTATTATATTGTACGAATTTCTAATTGGCTGTGTTCCATTCTTTGGTGAAACACCCGAAGAATTATTTGCTCATACGGTGAACGGTAATTTTTGCTTTATTATTCTTTTCGACTCAGCTCTTGATAACTGGAATATACTCTGAAGTATCTTGTATTATATCATATAAAATGATAACATTTTTGTTAGATGATATTGAATGGCCAGATGAAGATGATTGGCTTGTTCAACCCGAAGCAAAAGATATTATAACGGCTCTTCTACATCAGAGTCCTAGGGATCGTTTGGGAACTGGTGGATCGCACGAAGTCAAGGAACATCCATATTTTTATGGAGTAAATTGGAACAGCTTACTTAGGCAAAAAGCTGAGTTTGTGCCACAATTAGTTAATGACGAAGATACAAGTTACTTTGATAGTAAGTATCAAAGATATTGTGATACTATTAATATTTTACTCTATCTATGAATATTTATAAATTATTGCTAAATTCTATCCCAAATAGTTATAATAGTAGTTTAATTTTCTATTTTATTTTCTATTTGTCTCTCAAGTCCTCGTAACATTTCAGCTCGTATGGATAGGTATAATCACGATATAGGCGATGATACAGACGACACCGATGATTCTCCCTTATTCGGATCGTTCTCCTCTTACTCGCCTCAATCACGCAAGATCTCGCAAACGCGTCCACCTCAATTCAACTCAGATGCAGAATCCGACACTTCCAAGAAGTTATTCCGTACTGAATTTGAAGGCACGTTCGCGCAATTATCTCTTGGATCGATCGTGTCGTCGATCGCGCTGCCATCCAAATTGGCCGATCCACAATCCGCACAATCATCTGAAAGACATCGTCCGCCCTCCTCGGTAAAGAATAGTTCCTGCGCTGAGAATCAAACCAGAACCGACAAACTCAACACCACGTCGTCATCCTGCGTAACTCCCGGCACTACGATTTCATCGAGCAACGAACCGCAACTATCAATCGTTAAAAATACTCAGGTGGAAAGAACATCAATTAATCTGAGTACACCCGATTCTTCGCAAACCGAGTCCGAAGATATTAGTCCTCAGATCCAGAGAAAGCGACACACGCATTCCCGTGATAAGCTGCCCAGGTTCAGTATATCCGTTGATGATGAACACATGTGAGTCATTCAGTCGCATTCTCACAACAACACAATTTTTTTTCTCTCTTTTCCTTTTAATTCAATTTGCTTTCAACTTTCATACACATTTCCAATTTCTACATAACTTCAATTCATGCGCATTTTATAGTTTTTATTTTACTATATTAACATAATTTGTATAATAATCAATGTAGTTATTATACATAACTTTTACATTTCAATCTGTGATTCATTTAATCATTAAATAATTTTGAATATTTATAAAACTATAATCTTTTGACTCTCATGTCGGATTTAATCTTCACTTCCTTCCAATAACGTCATTATTTTTCTTTCTTTCTTTATATTTTTTAGTTTAATTTTTCAATTTTCATACATTTCTATAATTTCTACATAATACATTACAATTTTTTATTTTACTTTATAGTTTTTATTTTCTAACATTAACGTGTAATTTATATATTAATCGACTAATCATGTGCATTTAATACAGCTCTGATTCATTTAATGATTATCTACAAAGTATTCAATAATTGTAAAATTATATTTTTTGCTTATAGGTTGGATCTCGCAGCGGCAAATAAAGACGTAAGAGAGACAGAAGAGAGCAAGCACGATTCTAGCACTGATTCCTTTGAATCCTTCAGCGCTATATCTATGTTACCATCCGCCCGACAGAAATCTCGATCTGTCATAAAATCTGCCTCAACTAGCGGACTGTCGTTAGTGATTCCAACCAGCGATTTCGCTTGTATGTATTTCTCAAGAATACATAATCGAGAAAAATGTTGTCTCATTTTAGTATATAGACTGAATTTGCATCGAGCTTTTTTTTCTTTAGTAATCGTTTAACTGGTCAAATACGAGATTTATAGAAGGAAAAGCTTGTTGCGAATTTTATTTTTATTATACCTGGATCGAACAATATTTTTGTTTTTCAATGGAGCGGTTAATTATTTCTGATTTAAAATATGTATTCTTTTAGATGACGCGCCGCTGAATGTTCAACCTATTGAATCGCCTGGTGGATCATCAACTGCATCTTCGAGAGATACTTCCCCTTGTCGCGAACTAAGTCCTCTCGTAACTAGCTTGAAACCGCCCATTATCATCCGTCGAGGACCATGTGGCTTTGGTTTTACTGTGCACACTATTAGGGTTTACTATGGCGACAGCGATTTTTACACTATGCATCACCTAGTAATGGTACGTATAAATAAATCACGTTAAATATCTATTTTGTTCAAAGAATCTTCTCTATAGCATTCTTCATGAACTCTACAACATTTTTATATACTAATTTTTACATCACTGTCTCTGCTTGAATTTTGATAGTGTTTCACTAATTACATTTTACTCTTAGTTAAGTGGAAATTATTAATTATTTCTTATTTAAAGATATTATCAATTCCATATAAACATATTATGTCGATATTTTTTGAAATTTTATTTATACTTTTTTAAATTTTATGTTTTATTCTACATTAATTGCTTTTAAGTGCTATTATTATAGTTCTGTATTCTATTCTATATATTTCTAAATCTATTATATCTATTCTTATTATATGTTATATTACATTCTTATTATGTGTTATAATACATATAATTTTTTAATTCTGTTATTATTTGTTTCATCTACAAATCTTAAGTACTTTTCTGTATCGAAAAATAACTTTGTACTTCTCTCAAAAATATTTATAATTCCATTTATATTTTATATATAAATTACTTTTTTATAATAGGAAGTCGAACAGTCCAGCCCGGCATTCGAAGCTGGTTTGAGACCTGGTGATCTGATAACGCACATAAATGGTGAACCAGTGCAGGGTCTGTATCATACCCAGGTTTTGCAGCTAATGTTAAGCGGTGGTGACCACGTAACGTTACGTAGTACGCCGTTGGAGAACACCAGCATCAAGACCGGCGGTAGAAAGCGTGACCTTGCGCAGAGTAAATTGGCGCGCCGAACGTTACATAAGCAACGAAAGCAAAAGCGGGATCATTCAGACAAGAAACGGAAGACGTCTCTTTTTAAGAGAATAAGTTCCAAACGGGCGAGCGTAGAGATGCAGCAGGTACACTGGGAAATTTCGTTTGTACACAACATATTATTGAATGCGAATTATCGCTTTAGGACATTCGTAACTCTGTATTAGATTATTCTGTATTAGATTATTTATCACGATGTTTCGTTGTGCGATATATTTAATATTAATGTCAATTTTGCACAGCAATCTCAATACATACAGAAGAACTATGTTCATTCTTTACACGCTATTGCAAAAAAAATAGAACCAAAGAAACTTTAAAAAAGCTTTAAAGCACCAGCATATACGCGAGTACACACTGATTACGTTAAGTGCATTTTCTTTTGCAGCCGTTAACTATCAGTTGTCCATTGTCAGCACCCATTTTGTCCAGCGACAGCAAACCTCCACTTATGGTATGATTTCTTATACATTCGCTCATCTTTCCCATTGATCTCCATTGATATCGTTTCTGTTCGCTGCGTCGTTCTGTTGATAACATGTATTTCTTATGCGATTACACAGCTTTTGAATGGCTATTACACACTCCGCAAAGAATTATTGCGTTTAAAAATGTTACAACACTCACGATTGCCAATTATTAACAATGCATAAAGTTGTCCGAATTATTGGATTAACTCGTTTCACAAAACGAGATGTTCCATGACAAGAAAGACTTTCGTGTTTTCATATTGATAAATTTTGTCATAAATTTTTCAGATGGCTGCAGGAATTTGCTCTCCTTCAATGGTCACGCCTAGTCGATCATTTCAGTCGTTTACTCGCTCGCAAGAGACGTCACCATATTTTACGACATGCTCGAAATCTGTCTGCAGCCCGTCCCCGCCGACGAATCGCGCCAATACGGATTCTTATCATTCTACCGGAAATTCAAGTCCGTGTTCAAGTCCGAATTCTTCGTCCCCAGGTTCGAATACGTCAGTAGGCAATCTGTCAGGTATCTCGAACCAGTCGCATTATCAACGCCCCAGCACTCTTCATGGCCTCAAGCACAAATTACACACGGCTGCGAAGAACATTCATTCGCCGAATCGCAGGAAGTCCGTGGGTCACATACCATTATCGCCATTGGCTAGAACACCGAGTCCATCACCGATTCCTGCAAGTCCGACGAGAAGCCCAAGCCCGTTAGCGTTCCCCACGGGTCATCAACCTGGTAGTTCCAACACTACGCAATCATATAGTCCAGGTATGAAAAAGAAAAAATAGTGCAATTAATATAATTTAATCGTGGCAATTATCGTGATAATTATAATATTTGTATGAATCATGCTTTTGCATTTCCGGAAATTGACAGTATCAAGATAAAAGTACATAAACAAATAAATGATAAATATGAATGCGAATTATAGAAAAGGATATGCACTTGACTAAAATATTAATTAACAAAATTTGTTTAAGAAAATAAATTTTTTTCCTGTACATTTTGAGCTGTATAAAATAATTTTTTAAGTGTTTGAATGTCCAAATATAAAAAAAAGAAATTGAATAATTACGTCATGATCTGGTTCAAAATAGATAATAAAAAATAACTTTAAAAAATTAAATTTTTATTTTTTTTTATTAGTTATTTGATAATCGCTGCTTATAATCTTTATTTAAAATAAATAAAGAAAAACTGAATAAATTATTACAAAAGATGTGAGGTCAAATAGAATTACAATTTTTGAGACACTCTCATGTAAAATTTTTTTATCTTTATGTTATTTTTTGTAAACTGTATTTCTATAATTTTTAATTTTTTTATAAGAGAATAGACTGATATATCATCGTTCAATGTTAAAAATAAATTTAATTTTATTAAAAGTTACGAAAACAACTGATTTTTTTCTAAATAAAATTTCGGAAACTTGGTTCTCATAATTTAAAAAGAACTTGTTTAAAAAAAATTATTGATGATTAGCTAATGTAGCAAAATATAAATATAGCTTATGAGGAAAAAAATGAGTCACACAAACATCTCTCAGTTATGAGAGAAAACAACATAAAAATAGTTCTGCCCTATTTCTGCATTTTCCTTAAATGCAAATAAAGCTATGAATATCAATAAAAGATTTATAACATATGTATATCTTTATAATATTTATAATATTGTTGAGTAATAATGTTGTAATGATTTTGCAACGTCAGGAGCATGTTTATCGACGCCGAACAGTCAGAAGAAAGGTTACGGTCGTCCGAAATCCGCGGAACCAGGTTCACCGCTGCTCCGACGAGCTCTCAGTCCTGATCGACTTCATCCGCGTTCGGCAGAGAATAAAACGTCGATATCGCCGCTGGCTAACACTGTGGTCAAAGTAACACCACGTGTGACTATCGCACAGCAGTCCCACAATAGCAGTGATACCTGTTCGGATGAATCCAATGATAGTTTCAAGGAGACCAACGAGAGCACAAAGGGCGAGAAAAAAGTGCCAAGTGAACAGAAAGGGGACTACTCTAAATTGACTCATAGTATATCTATTAATTTAGGGAACGTAAGCATGTCAAATTCCTGCGGTAGTACGCAATTGCCACGGATAGCCGAAGAAAAGGATTCACCAACAGGCACTAAGAGTGATGACTACTCATCGTCAAAGGAGATTAGCGCGGAGAAAAGCGACAAGCAACAGTCGACGTATAGTAACAATCAGTCTGGTGACGTGGAGAAAACTCAGAACGATGAACGCCAAGCTGTTAGCGGCAGCAAAGTATCGCAATATAACGAAAAAAAGGAAACTGTCGTTCAACATGGTGTCCCGCAAGCGAGCGCACAGCAAATAACCAGTGCCATGAACTTACAGAAAAATCTAGATCAGAGACATTGTCAGACTGGCGAGAGATCTGTTGCATCATCTACGTTGTTGCATAAAACATTCACCGCCGAACAGAAAAACACCGGAAAAGGCAATCTCGAAGCTCATCAAGAAATTAAGAAAGTATCTAAAAAATACAAGGCTGATACCGGCGATGGCGCCCATTCAAGCACGCACGACAACAACGCAGGGTTGGGAAAAGATAAGAAGAACTAATTAATATAATGTGCTTTTAAGTAAATTCTTGAAGCATCGATTTCCTCTATGCAGCGGAGGACTTTGAATTATCTATGTGTTAATCAAATGTGAAATGAAGAGAAAGTTATCCTTTGCAAAGTTCGAATAGCTTTGTCGAATAGATACTGACGATCATATGAGAGATAAGAGACTAATCAAAAGGGAAAGCAAGAAAAAAGGAAGAAAGATCACAGATTTTTAATTTATATAGCTTTATGGAACTTCTATATTCAAACTTATAGGCTTCCGTCAAATGAATACCTGAAAGCGATTAAGATACTTATATATATTTCCGAGAAGGTTTTAATCTATTTCCGTAAAATATAATGTTTGTCATATACAAAACACTGCAAATTTTCAAATAAATTTACACAGATGAGAAATACATTATTTTAATTGTGAAACGCAAGACTCAATGTTACTAACTGGAAATCACAAAATCGTATATCGAAGTTGCTCTAACAGTGAGACAATTGGAGTGATTTTATGCTTCGGGCTACAGTATTTACACGATCTCATTTACATTTATATCTAAATAATATTAGCACGTAATATATACACATATACTGTACACGCGCGCGCGCGCACACGCATACCTATACATTACAGCACATACATATACATACACACATTCATATATTATATACAATCAACATAGTATTCAATGGCTCGCATACAATATCCCATGTACGCGAAATAGTTTTATAGGGTATTTATTTTTGAAGAAAGAGGGGAAAAAAGCAAAGAGAATCTATGACGCTATTTTGTTGCGATGATTTATGTAATATACAAGATGATTCCGTTGCACGCAATTAGCGAAATTACAATTAAAGCAGTGATATATTTGTGATGAAAGTTAAGAAACTAAACAATTCTCATACGAATCATTAAATATATTTTATCTTTCTGTACTATAATTGTACTGTAGTTGAATGTGAAAAAAATATACTTCTTTACTCGATGAAATATATTTCTTGTATCATATTGTAGCACATTCAATTATATGTATACAAAAGAGATATTAGAGAAATATTTAACAACTCACGATAGAGCAACTGTTTTGTTTCTTAATTTTTTTCATAAGTCCCTATCTATGAAAAGATACAATTAGTGTTTACATATTATCTCAGGTTTCTTGTCACGTATGACTGCTTAATTGATACTTTTCGTGAAATCATCAAATGTATACACTTACAATATAGATATTGGCACAGCAAAATCAAATCCTTGCGGAAGCATCTTGCACACATAAATTATAAATTATAGAGACAGCAGAGATTACGAAAGATTGGAGTTCGATATGCACTGCAATGCATTGAAATTTTAGTATTAGTTTATTAATTTATTGTACATAACATATTGTACATTAGTCGCAATACATTTTAGTTAATAGAATGTTGTCATTAAAATATTTAGCACCAGCACATATTTTTGTTGTAATTGATTAAGCTCGAATTCATCTTTGCTCGTTGTTAACAAAATCAATAAAAGGAAGTATGCTTTGGAGCTTTGCTGAAAAATAAGCTTTATCTCTGCCATAGGTACAATTCGTTCATATTGCACGGTGATTTGATACTTGTAATTTTATCGTAACTTCGTCAGCACTATAGTGTCCAATTAGCTAAAAATTAATTGTTTATTTTGCAAATAATAACGCGCGCTAACATTCGTAAAATTGTCAAATTTTCTAATAAATTATGTGATAAATAATGTGAATTTGTTTTTATTGCAGATTTTATTAATAATAAATTATTAATAAGATTTTAGATCGTTGGCATATCAATTAGTTGTTACTAAATATTGACTAATGTTTAATAATACATCAATTATTGATTGATAGATATTAATGATATTAATGATTAATAGATATTAATAGATCCTGATGATCATTAATGATTGATGAAATAACAAATTGATTAATATTATATTAATATTCATTAATATAATTGATTAATATTATATTAACATTCTATTAATGTATTTATTAATAGATTAAACCTTAAGAAGAATATTTTAAGAAAAAGTCGTTTATTATCTTAGAATTTGAAATCGGCTTAATTTGGCCTGAAATAATACTATTTAAATTTGTAGACCGTCCAGTTATACGAATGTTAGCGCTCATATCACACTGCTCATAGCGATAAAGTTTACTCTAAATGTCCATGTTGCTCATTAGTTAAATAAAATGCGATACGATAATTTATCATGCGATAAAATTAAGCTTCTAGATGTAAGGATATTTAAAGTAAAGAATTGTGCTTGCGTTGAGCACTTTAGAGTGGATAACTCGTAGAGTCTCGAATCTAATGACTCTCTCAAAATACGGTCCCATAATATTCGTTTTTGTGTTAATATTGTTTCTAAATTTTCACGGCATATGTAATCGATTTCGATGTATACGTATTATACTTGTATGTTCAAGTTTTGCGTTAGTATTTATGTATTTAAATCTTTAATTCTGTTATAAAATGAAATGGCACGGTTTTTGCAATTTTTTTTTCTCAGTTTGAATATTCTGAGATCGATTTATTCGACATATTCAATAACTCTCTTTGTGTCACTTTCACGATAAATCATAATGATTTAATAAGGCCACTCTGTTGTAATACGCTATAACGACAATTAACATTAAACTAAATTAGAAGTAATTCTAACTTTTAATTAAATCGTGCTTCGAACGGCGTCGTGCACGGTTCTCACTATGCATAAGACTTTACATCTCCGTCTTGTTTGTATATTTTTGCACATTGTATATGTTACTGAATCACTGACATGTTAATGTCAATATCCGTTATATATATATATATGTCTAGTTAAGATTTTAAAATTATTATTATTAAGTTTTCACGATTAAGATTCACGTGACTAAGTTTCCTGAATACATTGCGAGCCATATTATAATAATAAGAGAAACAAGCGAAGAATTTTTTTTCTCGACTTGTGAAATCGATGATTCATAAGTCTCAGTGAAATTATTTTATATTGCTAAATATTTTTTAAATTCCTCGTTGGTCACTTCCATTTATGTCGAATTTACTGTGTTTGAAAAATAATTAGTTTTCATGTAGATAATTAATATTTTTTTTCTAAATTTTAAGCAATTTGTTAATTACGTGTCAAAAAGAAAGGGAAATCATGATTAATTGATGCGTCCTTACAAATGTGAAGGTGGAAATATTTATTCGATTCAAATCATATCTTTTATTGTTCCTCTATTGTAACGTAACACTGTAAAAGCGATTTTTTTTCGAAGTGACGCGATCAATTATATCGGAAGTCCTAAGACTATACAGGAAATGTTGAATGTTTCCGCGTAAATCTCATATAATATGGTATGGCTAAATATCGTTTAAATAGGCTGTCGTAGTTATATAGCGTGTATATTATTATTATATATCATAAACGAAATGTCATTGTTGTTTTTTGTTTGATTTGCATAGAAACAGGAGAGGAGGGAGTCATCTTTATTATATCGTCACACTTAGATATGTAAGCGACATCACTAATCGGTATGAGATAAGCTGAAGAAAAGAGTGATTTCAACTTTTAATATTGCATGTGAATTCCTTCTCATAAAAGCCAATTGTAGAGATTTAAGGATGGAACGTATCATATAGTGATTTTGCGAACGGAACGAGTGACTTCGTTGTGAATGTGTGAGTATGTCTGTACGTATGCGGATGTGAATTTAATCTGTAATTTGTTGCGAATTTTTTTTCGAGTGAATTGCGACGTACGGAAATCAAGTCTGTGGCTGTTTTGTTAGGAACCAGAGAATTCTCGCGCATCAGACGATGCTAATAATTTGCAAAATTCACAGCTTTAACGATAGATAACGTTAACAATTTTACAGTTTTATTTAATGATACTATTAGACAAGTGACGATTGTCAATTCATTCTCAGGTGCTCTCGTATTGTAAGTTCTACGGAATTGTTCCATTAGCTTCACAACACCTCCCGTTGTGATACGAGAAAGCGCAAGAGAGCAAATTCATTAGTTTTATTATTCCTTTTTTGTTCCTTTCTTTACTTTTTTTAAATATCGAAATTTTTATAAAAAATCATTTGATTCTCTTCCTCCGTTTACTTGTGTTCGGCAGCTCAGTGATCAGAGAAGCGTCGACTATATGCGCATATTTTCTATTTATATGTATAATCATCGGAAGCGAACGAGAGATTGTACTCAACTGTGTGATTGTAACAAGATTCGAATTTGTATAAATGCCAATGATTTATTGCCTCGAATCTGCTATTGTTTAATTTGTCTACCTAATCTAGACATTATTATAATACTAGCTAATGTACTGTATGTTTATTATCATTTTCTTGTATTGTTTATGCATGTTGCTTGTTTAGTGAATATTCTTATCGTTGTTTATTTTTCGTCGCTCCCCCGATCTGCACGAGTCATCAGAAATTTATCGCATCCATTTATGATTATTACATATCCATCGGGATCGTTTCGTTCCAAAAAGCATATAATTTCCTTTGTCTCTTGCCTCTCAAGAACACGCTTTTCCTCAACAATTCGGCGCTAACAACAATTCTTAATGGATTTCAGTCGCTCTATAAATAATGATATGTCGCATCATTTTCCATATTAGAAATGATGGATATATGATTATGTTGGAATAACAGAGTAACATAAGAGTAAACATAAGAGTAAACACTAACTAACTTGTAACAGTTGCAAGGAGATAACGGCAGCTTAAAATATCCGAAGCACGCGCGCTTAACGATTTCATAAAAGAGATCGTGGTAGAGCTAATTAAGCGATATAATTCCTGCGTCCTAAGATTCGTCAAAACCAACATCAGCATACACTTATCCACGGTGAAAGATACTTAAGATACCGCCACCGAGCACCGACTTGCTTAATTATACATGACACTTTAGTGCTTCGTTGCACGATTCGATCTTTTGGTATATTGTTATTTATATTCGTTTTCATAGCATTTTTTATTACATTAACTTTTATGATATTTTAATGTTGATTATTATATTAACGTGTAATATATCAGTAATATTTCTCTGATATTATAATATGTAATCTTTCTAATATGTTGCAATATTACTACAATATGTGACATTGTGTGCTTCATGAGAAATTAAATTCTAAACTTTCCTAACACATACTTAAAAAATCGTATTTCTGATGAAAATTGTTTGAATTTTAAAATTTTTATTGCGATAAAATACAAAATTACATAAAAAAATTGTCAAATATTAAAAAAATATTTAAAAAATATTTAAAAAATATTAACAAAAGATTTGACATGATGCGAGATGTTTTTTTTTGTATGGCGATTACTCGAAATATGATTCTGATATCAGAGATAAGCCTGAGAATTATGATAATGGACGTATTAGCTAACATCCGTAATACTTTTTCTTGATCAGGCAAGTGTCAGGAATTCCGTATTATAGCATACTCTTTTTCAATTAGGCATTAGTCATGCATCAGAGATATTTCCGATTTAATTTCTGCTCGAGGTATTACTATATACATGCGTAAATTTCTAGTATGATAATTGCTTTTTTTTTAACCATCAACGACAGGGGGAGAATTATCCCACAATTTTGCCTACAATTGCACATACCACTCATTAGCTGGTGCTTAGTAATTTTTCACTGCTTTACCAATGAGAATATTTTATTTTTTAATCCAGCAATTAGCAATGCATGTGTACAACAATGCAATGTGTGTGTAATCGGAGCCTTTCCGTCAATAGTAACAACAACTTGTCGTTTCAGTAGTGTTTTGTTACTTGCCAGAGTACACTCATGCGCTATTGTTTGCCGAGAAGTGAATCGCGGAAGTGAAATTGAATATAACATTATACTTGTCATTCTATTTATCATCATATATTTATCTCACAAACAATCATAACCATTATCAATGTCTACATTTATTTCTGATTTTAGCATTTGTTGGAAAAAAGTATATGATACATAAATTTTGCTTATGTCCTCAATTAAAATACACACACACACACACATACCCGGGAAAATATTTTTATATAAAATTATATAAAATTATATATAATTTTATATAATTGTATAAAATATTTTTTCCCGGGTAATAATTATATATATTATTGCGTTAATAACTTGGTGATAGTGATGCAAATCTTTTTACAAAGCTTTTATTTAATTAAATAAAGATCATTAATTAGCTTCGTTTATCTTATTCAGGAATTATATTTATTTTTCTCAAATAGCAGGTATTACTTAAATTAATTACTTTTCTTTTATTTGTTAGGACAATTGTTTTTTTTCTTTACTTTTATTGTAACTAGATAACGTAACTAAATAACTACGACTTTGTAGAAACATACATAAATAAGTAAAAGGGTATAAATAAAAGAATGCTTTATTCATAAATTTCCTTGTTCAATACAAACCGGTTTGAGATAAAAACTGCTAATAATCAAGTAAGTAATTTTCCAGCTCTTATTGTAAATATGTATGACCCATAATTAACTCCTTGAATAATAGTCATCAATGTAGAATGACAATTCAAAGACAATTAACTAAGGACTTCGTAGAAAACTTACATCCCGGAACTTAAAGAGATCCTAAAGCCGTCCTGTATTATCGACTAAATCATATAATTTTTGTATAACAAATAATTTCTCTTTTACGTATTCGAAAATCCTTTAACAGGATTAAAGTATACGCATTACTACGTGTTTGTGAGGTGGATTTTATATCGAGAATGACAAAAATTTTCGAAATTATATATTTTTTATCATTTCTTAGTGCAATATGGCGTCTCAAGTCGTGATAACATTTGCTTGAAAACGAAAGTTTTGCAACCTTATACTTCTCAGCAAACGAGAATGGATTGAAATGGATAGAAATGGATTCAGATTTTCAGATTAATTCACGAATGTTAAAATGAATACTTTTCAATCTCCTGAATGTATTTTTATTCATTTATAAGAAATTGCATGGAGCATACCTCTATGCCTTCAAATCTAAAAATAATATTAACTTTTTCTGTGCATTGTGAATATTGTTCAATTCAAAATTTTAAATAGGAAATGCAGTTTTTCAATTCAATTGCACCCAACTGAATGTAATTGAATCCAATTAAATCCAATTAAATCCAAAAAAAGTATTCGCTATTTAAAATACGCATTCGGATAGAAAAAAATTTCAATCCATTTTAATCCATTCTCGTTTGCTGAGTTACGAAACAATAATCAAACACGTAGTTTGCACGAACAAATAATGTCGAATTCTTAGACTTAGGCCAATATTCATAGTCAGATCTTATATTTAAGACCATACGTCTTAAGTACCGAACCAATCACAGGGCCACATTAGCGTTTTAAAACATTACTTAAGATGGTCTTGAAATAAGAATCGACTATGAATATCGGATGAATTTGTCGTGATGAATTTGTTATACCATTATGTAATGGTAGAAGAATGTTTATAATTTCTATTTCCTTATATCAATTTGAACTTAGAAAACCATTCCAGAACAATAAATTTTCCTGAAATGCGTACAATTCACCCACTTTTCTCTATCATAGATTGTGTGAGATATTAGTGTGGTAGTAATCAGGTATATAAAGACATTTAATGTCGATTTATCTAATTTGTCTTCACGTGCTCACTTCAAAAACCACATTTTTTATTTTTCAGACAAAATCATTGTAGAATGAAGCCATTACCCTTCTTTCCAGAATTGGTAACATCACGCTAAATATAATTTACTTTCAAGACATAAAAAAACACCAAGTTGGTTTTGTGAATTCGACAATACTACAATAATTTAACGATGTGTCCACCAAGTATTGTACTTTGTTTTGCATTTCTGCTTGTTGCTTCATCCTCGGAACCTCAGGATGATTTTACGAATGGCAATGAGCAGAGCGACAATTCGACAATGCAATCTGATCCTTTCGTAAATTCTACGAAATATCAAAATGAAGAGATGGAATTAACAAGATGCAATTTACATAAAAATTCTATTAAGAATAATGATGAAATGCAATACGAATCCTGTATTAATTCTACAAAGAACAATTGCAGGAATAACTCGGTGCAATACGTGAATGAGTCTCGTGAATATATAATAAAAAGTCTAGAAGATAATAATCAGACATCTATGGAGTTCTATACGAATTCGACAGAGATCAATAATTTCACGTTACAAAAAATTAAAGAAAATTTCATTAAAACTGAAGACAAGAACAATTCCACATTGTACAAACTCAATCCCAATAGAATAATTAAAACTACTTTTATTGAATATAGAGCGTGCAATGATAGTATTACTTGTATTCAGTTCTGTTGTCCTTTTGGTACCATCTTGACGATAAAGGGACGATGCATCCCTCGTGGGGAGGATTACGCTCTTTCAAATAAACACGGGAATGATTCCGAGGATGAAATGGTCGACGAACTATTTTTGACTGTTCGCGATCCATGCGTTGCAAAAGGATATGATCGCGAATTTCTTTTTCCCAATACATACTTATTTCTCACCAATGGCTCTTTGTACAATAATCATGATGGCGAACACATTTCACCAAAGTCTTATTGCTTTGCCATTATGTTTCGGGACACATATGACGTGTTCGTCTGTGATAATCGGACTACATTTCCGGTATTTGTATCCATGTGCCTCCTATTGTCTTTGCCGTTTCTGCTGTTGACGTTCATAATATATTCTATATTGCCAGAATTCCAGAATATCCATGGTTATACATTGCGTGCACACGTGGGTTCATTATTCATCACATACGCGATTATGTGTTTTGCCCAAGTTTTTGGATTAGGTGAAGTGAAATATTGCGTTGTACTAGGTACAGTATATACGTAAACTATATCGTTCCATTAATTAAAAATAACACAACTAAATAAATTAAGTTTCAGAAAAGGCGAAAAATTATTTTTCTACTTAAACTACTTTTCAACTTGACAGAAAAATATTGACTAATTAAATAATATAACGCAATCAAATAATAATAAGCTCCTTTAAAAATATATTCTTAAAAACATGATCAAATGTCATTTTTGTTATTTTTATTTCACAACAAAAAGCTATATCTTTTTTAAGTTGTGACGATTTTGATGTCCTTATAAAATTATAACAAATCCAGAATAATTTATCAAAAGTGACATAATTCAGAACATTACTAAACAATTTTTATATTTACCTCGATCAGCTCTAAAAATGACTGAAAATAAATCAATTTCTTTAAATTTTAATCTTTGGTCACCAAAACTGTCTTGACTCTAAATAATTTTTGAAAAAGATTTTCCTTTTATTTACAAAAACAATACAACTAAAAATATGTCTCTCTTTTAGAAGGTGATTATAATTTCTTTGAAAACCTTAAGAGAGACACAAGTGCTATTTGGCGAACAAATTGTTAAGTTAATTTACTTTTGATAATTAATAGAATAATCTTTAACTTAACTTATTCGTGATAATGACGTGATTTCGTGATAAACTCGAAAACAACATTTTTTAAGTTATGTTACTTTTGAAGTAAGCCTGGAATGATACAGTAATGCAATAATGTGTTGCTTATATATACCTATATATAAAATTAGTAGTTTAAATATAATATTTCTGTCTTCCGAATAATTCAATAAAATGGAAATTATTAAATTTTTAAAAGAACAAATAATATAAAATATAATAATATTAAAAGAATAAATAATTTAAATAATATTTAACAGATATTTAAATCTTGAATTATACATTATATACAATAACTCATTTCTGCATGTAGATAATTTTAGTTTAAATAGAGAAATTATACAGTGAAGCATTTAATTTGATCAAATTCACTTTTTTTTTACTTTGTAATACTGCAGACATGCAGATTAAGAAAATGCAACAAATACAATAGATATAGTAATAATTATAAACTACAAATAATTGCCATTTTAATATATGTTTGATGATTAACATATTCTTTAATTTCATCTTTTCAGCATATATCTTCAACTTCTTCTTTTTGTCAAGTTTTTTTTGGTTAAATGTAATATGCTTCGATATTTGGTGGAAATTTAGGTGAGCAATATGTTTCATATAATATGAGCTTGGTGGAAGTATAAGTAATAAGGTATGCTCATAATTAATTCAATTAATTTAATTTAATTAATTTTAAATTTTTTTTTATAATGAAACTTGATGTTTAAACTGATAGTTGCCACCTAAACAGAACAACAAGTCACGATAATGTCAAAATGACATTAAAATGAATCGAAAATGATTGAAAAATAACTTTTAGTGATCATTTTTGAGTCATTTTAATATCATAATGGCTTGTTGTTTTACTTTGCATGTGTGAGTATGTTAGTTTTATATATATAATTTGAATTGAACTGGTGCAAGTGCGCCGCTCCCAATGAACACACCTTTTTACTTCCATCATGATTATACGCAAGTAATTTTATACAACGTACTCACCAATATTCACTAGAGAATTGAGAGTTAAATTTTAAAAAATAACAAGTTACTCGTTAGAAAAAGTAACAGTTATTATTACTAATTATCGATTTTTAAAAGTAACTCGTTACAGTTACCGTTACTTAAAAAAAACTTTTCATTATCTTTTCGTTACTTATTTTTTAAATCGACGCTCACCAATCACAGCGATTGGGTGTCTAGGTCCTACTGAAAAAAAATCATGTCACAACGTTACATAATTTCATCATGCAACTATGACGTGTTTTTTTTTTCAATAAGGGGAGCTTCCTAGTCTTGCACTATGAGTGACTTGTGTTCAATCGAACCGTGTCCAATCGTGTGCAAAGTAACGATAAAAATAATTGTAAAATTCGTTATCGCTAGTAAAAAAATGTAACTACTTCATAAAAAAAAAATATTGGCTAATAATTTAATTGTTATTGACTAATTATAAATCGCATTTTATAGAGATCTCCGTCCGTTCCGTCCGTACCAAACAAAAATAAAGCATAAAAAGAAGCTTATAATATATTCGATCTATGCATGGGGAGTCACTATCATTCTTAACGTTATCTGCGCTATCATGGATAATATTCCTCTACCAGAAAATTTGATCCGACCAGAAATTTGTGAAAAAAGGTTTTGGTTCGGTGGTAAGTGATATCGGCAATTAATATAATGCTAGCGGGAAATTAATATTTAATTGAAATCTTGATTAAATTTCAACAATTTTTAATTTAAATAATGGACATATCATTCACATATATTAGTGTAGTGTAATACAAAGAATTTGTTTTTTGTTTCAGAAAATGAAGCAAAAACGTTATATTTTTACGTACCTATAAGTGTCACTATCATCAGTAACATTTTTTTTTTCATCCGCACAACACTAACGATTCTGTATCAGAAAATACATATAGCTAATCTGTTGAGAGATTGTGAGATCATACGCCACGATGAAAATAAGCAATGGTAAACAATGCGAAGGCTACTTTAAAGTAACTTTGCGAAAAAAATTATAGTAACTTTTTTTTTTTTTTTAAAGGAAAGTTCGAAATTTATACCGCTACAAACAGCATTCCCAAAAAAATTTTACCAAGTCCGTACATTTCGTCAAACTTTGCAATTTTCAATATGACAAACACACATCCTCATATTGGAAGTTACAGTGGTAGGGGTGTGTTAAAATCTGGCCATAGTGTTTTAAAGTTGAGATTTCAAACTTTAATTAAAAAAAAAAAATGTTATCTTACGATAATCTTTTGCGAAGTTATCGTCAATCAAACTTGATCAATTTTTACACAAAACATTTTTTTATGCCATAATTTTTTTTAACAGTGTATATTTTATTAATATGTCTTACAGCAACGATTGTAATTACAAATAATACAAAAATATATTTGCTCACAGGTTTAATATGTACTTGAAGCTGTTCATAGTGATGGGAATAACTTGGGTTTTGGAGATAATGTCGTGGGTCGATATTGGTGCTGATATTGTACCACAGTTCATCTGGTATCCTGCCGACATCGTAAATGCCTTGCAAGGTCTCACTATTTTCATCATATTTGTGTGTAGAAAAAAGACCCTGCAAACACTATTAAAACAACTTAACTGGAAGATTTGTGATCCATTTAAGATTAGAACAAGGTGTATAGTTGTCTCAAATACATCCACTAGAAGATCCAGAACAATGCCCATGCAACAAATCGATCGCTCTAATTAACAACTAATCATCTTGCAAAGTTCAATTAGTCCTACTCATAAATGTTGCAATGTAAAAAGAAAATTCTATTATAGATGAGAGTTAACAGTTAATTAGCAGCATAATTTAATTCTTCAGTCGAAGATCTTACGTATGTATATCAGATTATATTGTTTTACATTGTTTTTGGTCTCTTTATAAAAAAGAGATATTTGATGTTATACAATCTGTTAAAACATTAAACAATACAATATAATTTTTTAAGCAGAAAATTCGAAAGAAAGACGGTGACTCATCCTAAGAATGAAAAGAACCCGTCTTGAAACATTGAATCAAATAATAATAAATACAATGAAATAACATTCCAAATTAATTGCGGATTCAAATCTTATAAATCACGTGTTAAACATATCTCGAATATGACCAATACAATTTAAATAATAAGTAAGACATATCAGTCACTCAAATAAATATTAAAAAAGGAGGCAAAGTCAATGTATTATATAAACAATTACAAAAAAATTACATAAATCAGCTAAATAAAACTATTTTGTGTCTTTTATTATATAAATGTGATGTAAGCCTTCCGTATCCGAAATTGAGATTATTCTCTTATATAAGGATATGAAGATATTTCGATATTTATCGTTTATTAAGGAAATATTCTTCGTCAATTGCTGTGATATTTTCCCAATCGAAGTCATGTTCAAAATTAATTTTATATTATATAACTGAATTATTATTATGCGATTACAATTTTCTGACATTCTATATATGAATGTCATTAAAGGTTTAATGCTAAAAGTGTTTACACAAAGTTATGATAATTGAACTGAGATTAAAGTTAATTTACTTTGGTATAGAAATAGAATTTTCATGATCAACAAGCATATAATGATAAACTATGACGAAATAAGACTACATTCTCTTGGATATATGTTGAATGGCACACTGTTTATTAGCGTTGCAAATTAACTTTATAATTTCACAGTGTTAGTCCGTTTGTAGAATTTTTCAAATTCTGCTTCTGGTAATAGACTCAGACCTTAACTCCACTAAGACGAAATATTAATCAAATCAGCTGAAGTTTTTCCAATAATTATAAATAGTTTTCATTGCACTACTTATTGTTAGTTATATCCATTATATTCATTGCAAAGGATTTATTTCAGATTACGTAGCTATTTTTTTATAATATTATTTAAAATTTTATATTAAATGCTATTTATTTTTTACATGTTTTGAAGAAATTTTGATAGCATCGGTGACCACGAATGATCACCAGCGTCAAAAGTCAAGTCCTATTTTTCACCGAATGACCAGCATACTAATTAAGATTATATAATGAATTATTTATGTACAATTTTAACTACTCTACCATTTTAACTCGAATAATATTTATGATGTGACGTGTGGTCCATGCGTGTTTAAACACAAAATGCATGGGATTCAGAGAAGATACTACTATTTCCTATGTCAACGTTTGCATTATTTGATATGCAAAGGTATCAGAAATGAGACACGCAACATCCGGGTGAGAAAAGGGTTTCTTTTGTGTAATTTGCTTTAATCTATCGAAATTGTCAACAAAATGTCTGTCGCGTATACTTGGTGACAAGCATTTCTTCGTTTTTTTTATTTAGATGAATAATTTATAATTTCCTCTTATATTACAGCACCAATTAATTTGGATTTCGTTCATTTATTCGACAATACTTTCCAATTACTCGAGCTCATCAAAGGCCACTAACACTTTTTCTGATTAACGAAGCAGAAAATTGAAAATATTATGATCGGAAATGGCTCGTTGAGTCATTTTATAAATGAAATATTTATTTATGACTACAGCTGTTATTATCTTAATTAGAGTTTTAATTAGCGTTTAGCATGATCTTCATCAATACGCTGTTTGAAGTCTTCTCTGTTCCCTGTAAGTAGATATTCCCAGTTTGTATCATAAAACGATTATTTTTGAAGGTCAAATCCGATCGCATAATAAAAGTCAAGTTGATTAACAGTCTTGTTTCTTTTTTCTATATCTTGTACGCTGATAAAAGAAAAAGAAAACGGATAAATGGGATACAAGACAGAAGCTGCAAAATAAATCATTTTACTTATTAATTATATGTACGTGTTTTACATAAAATACACAAAAGTTTTTAAAATCGTTTTTAAGATCGAAATGCTAAGGAAATTATTAATGTCTTAATTTTCTTTTTATTTAATATTATTTCACAACATTATTACATAATTGAATTTGTATCTTACATTTATTTTGCTCAATATATTATATCCATATCTCAATATTTTCTCAACTTCAATATTGCCTCATTATAAATTCTCTCTTGTTTAATTTTCTCTCCGACACGTACATATTTTATTTATTTTAGTCTATATAATCTGTAAGTTAAGGCGTCCTCCGCATATGAATTACCCTGTATCCATAACCGGCACGTTTACGCGTGTGCGTGCATGTGGACGATATCCCACGCGTGTATAACGCGCGTGTACGCGTTCCGAAGTTGACGACGACGAGAAACGACGCGAGACGATCCGTCTGGTCCGTGCACTTCGTGTGCTGTGCAGTCCATTGGGAGGAGTCGCGAGAGGATGAGGTTCGTTCTACTCGTGGTCCTCCTCGGAGCGTGCGCGTGTCACGCTCGCAACGACGAGATCGAGATCAATGAGATCGACAACGATGAATCGGTCGCACGCGAAGAGCAACGCGTGCGCAACATCACACTCGCCGAGATCTTTGAGAACGCGGTCCAGGCCTATCTCGAGGAAGACTGGGACGGCTGCGTCGCGGGATTTAACGATGCTCTGCATGAGTAAGTTGTTACAATTATCCCGTCGTCGTCGGTACTCTCTTCTTCATAAGCACTCAATGTATATTAATTTTATGAGGTATTTTTAAGTTTTATTTAAGTTTCCAATTTTATGTTTTATTAAAAATTCTTAGACCCGGTTGCACCAACGTTACTTTGACTTTAAGCGAAACTTAAAACTCTCTGTCTCATTTTAAAGCGAGAAAGAAACAGAGACAGAGAGAATTTTCTTCACTTAAAATCGAAGTAACGTTGATGCAATCGGGTCTAAGAATTTTTAATAAAACATAAAATTGGAAACTTAAGTAAAACTTAAAAATACTTCATAAAATTAAAGTTTTTAAAATTATAAATGCGTTTTCTGACATCTCGTTTTAAGGAAAATACATATTTAATACTTTTATGAAATTTTTTTCATATTTATTAATAGTTTACATGTGTAAATTGAAAAGTGATTCTTGATGTATATTAATTCTAAAATATCAAGTATTTTATTAATTTTAAATGTTTTATTTTTAAAAAAATGCTTTCTTCTGAAATGTTTAAAATTTAATGCGTTTTTTAAAAACTTTTTTGAAAACTTTTTTGAAGGAGAGGGATTTCTTTAGCTTTTTATATGTTTTTAGTAATATGAAATTACATTAAAATTTATGAAATGAAAATATTTTTTACGAGAAAAACGAATTTTTTTGAAAAAGAAAATAGCATGGAAAAAAAAGAATAAGTTGCATAACACACAAAAGTATAATATATTAAAGATATTTTAATTTAAAAAAAGAACAGAATTAAATAATAATTAAAAAAAATCTTACAATTGCAGTGTCTATATTATAAAATATCTATTTATATTACAAAATTTTTTTAAATATCGATTGCAATACATAATCAATACATATATATTAAATCCATATTTTTTAATGTAAATTTACATATAATGTTTCATAGATATAAAGCATACAAACGTCTGGTGATAATTTGCCGGCGAAAATGTAAAGCTGAGGCGGCAGGTTCTTCGCCAATCTTCATGGAGAATATCGAGGATTTGCACTTTTACGAAAGAAAAGTGAAGGAGACGCTTTGTCTAATGAAATGTAATCAGGATTATCGAGAAATCGCAGGTGAGGGGGCGCTTAAACGACTCCCACACGCTACGGAGAAGAAATTTGTTGACTTTACCATCTACGAGTATCTTCATATCTGTTATTTTCAGGTATAAAAATATATTTATTTGACTGAAACTTTAAATAATCGAATATTGCAAACTTTTTATATAAATTACAAAAAAAAAGTAATGCTTACAACATTAAATTAAAACATAATTTTATTTTTCACTTTATATTAATCCTTATAATTTATATTTGTACTTACAATGTTTCTTTTTATAATAATTAAACCATAAAATATAAAAGATATATTTTATCATATTTTTATCTTATTAATAATATTTATGATATGGTTTACGCAGTATTTTAACTTTGATTTAATATAATTTTATTTGATATATTTTATTTTTTATCATTTATTAATTTCTTTCATGTTATTACAACCGACAAATTGATTTTACAAAGATATGTCTCTGCTCACTTATAGAAGATATCATAAAAAGCATTACGAAAATACTATACTCCCCGGATCCTAATCTGGTAGATTACGTAATTACAGTAGTAGATATTTGGTCCGCGTCCGCTGCGTAAATTATGAGTTAAACAACTACGGCATGACTTGAAAAACTAGTTCGTACCATTTCTCTTCATCATTTCCCTAAATAACAAATATAGCTTTATTTTTAGAAATTTGCGCATCGTTATTTATAACACTAAATCTCGATGGAACTCGATTTTAATTAAAAGTATTAATTAAAAAGAATTATTAATACATTTTAATTAAATAAATTATAAAAGACGTTTACAGCATTAAACTGAAACATAATCTTATTTTCCATTTGTATCCTCGAACAGACGATATGGTTTCGATCTGCTATCGAAATTAAAATTCCAGTATATTCTATACACTTCTAACATGATGATCGCTATTATCTTAATATAACCTGAAATAAATAAAAATATTGTTTGATGTTTATCAAGAATACATATTTTACGAGAGATATATATATAGTTTTTGTTAATTTTTCAAAAATACGATAATTTTTTAAAGATGTAAAAATATTTTTGCTAATAATAAAAATATATACATATTTAATATATCATAAAATAAAATATATATTTATATCAGAATTATTAATCTATAATTAATATTATAATATTTATAAATAATTTTTTCTAGAAAGAAAGATATCAAGATGCGGCGAACGCAGCTTTCACCTTTCTCTCCCTACATCCCAATCACGAGATGACTAAGAAGAACCTGAAACACTACTTGAATTTGTCCAACGTGACCGTGGAAAAGGTCGTGAATTTGGAGGCAGCCCCCTTTGTGCAAAAGTACATCCGAGGTGTCAAAGCATACGAAGATGAATATTATGCGGAAGCTGTGATCGAATTTGAAAATTCACTCGAGCTTTACATAGAATCCGAGGAAGAATGCAGAATCTATTGCGAGGGTCCTTTCAATCAAGGATGGTATCCTGAATTTACCTCTTCGGTAGCAAGTAAGATACATAAATTAACTTAATAAAGAACAATAAATAATAACATTAACGAATTCAGATTAAAAAATGTATTTATAATTTATGCTTTTTAATCTTGCTATCCTTTTTAATCTAAATATAATTTATACTTTTTAATCTTTATTTGAGTGCAGAATTATTCGATCTAGAAAAACAGCTTATTTGTTTGCTGCTTTAATATTAATTAAACTTAAAAAAAATTTTAAACAAATTTCTTATTAAAGTTTATGCATTACTAAAAAGCATAACTACAACGTACATAATATGTGCGCGTAATTTCTTCTTAATTTTATTATCATATTTAATGGATTGAATTCTTTCATTATACAAATTATAGCAATAAGTAAATTAAACACTACACTCTCATTAAATTAAATTGTTAATAAGCTTTTAGATAAATACGATTAACTGGATTTTTAATTCCATTTTCCCGGAAGAAATTTGAAGTAGATTATTAATGATTACTCCAAGCATAACTATAATGCACATAATATGTGCGCGTAATTTCTTCTTAATTTTATTATTATTTAATGGATTGAATTCTTTCATTACACAAATTATAGCAATAAGTAAATTGAATACTACACTTTCATTGAATTAAATTGTTAATAAGCTTTTAGATAAATACGATTGACTGCATTTTTAATTCCATTTTCCCGGAAGAAATTTGAAGTAGATTATTAATAATTACTCAAAGTATTTCTTGTTTATTGTTATTCTTTAATTTTTTTCAGATCACTTTACGTTCTGTTTGAAATGCAAACGTGGATGTTCGCTTGCATTAAATAATGTAAATGGCGATTTTCGGAGTGATTTGCTTAGAAGTCATTATAATTACTTGCAATTCGCTTATTATAAATGTGAGTATTTTGGCAAAAAAATGATTTATTTTATTGAATATGAGATTGATGTTTTTTATGACAAATTATATCATGTAGATCATATCACTAAATTCTTCCAAATGCTTCAAACATATTCCACAGATAAATATTTATTTAAAATAAAAAAAAAATATATTAGGTGTTGGAATTAATTCGTAGCGTTTTTAATGAAAGAATGTTATTTATTTCACATGAGCATTAAAAAATACATTAATGAAAGTACTTCCCATCACTTGTAAAACGCTACGAATTAATTCCAACACCTAATATATTTTTTTTTTATTTTAAATAAATATTTATCTGTGGACTATGTTTGAAGCATTTTGGATTAATTTCTAAATTATAGCAATCTCAATGTCAGTTCAACATCATTTCTAAAATTATTAAGTATTCTGTATACTTTGTGCAATACGCGTTTATTCTTTAACTTGCATTATTTCAAGAAAATTTATTTTGTGTGATTCATTATCTTCTCACTTTCTTCTTTCCCCCTCTTTATCAATTGAATTTTTTTTAGTTTAATATATATATTTTATTATAATATATTTGCTTAAAAATAAATACATTTAGTCAAACAAATAATGAAAGATACAAAAATATACAAATAATAGTTTTCATTTATTTTATGCAGTGGGTAATTTAAAAGCAGCTTGTGCAGCAGTTGCAAGTTACTTATTATTCTTACCTGCTGACGAAGCAATGTTGCATAACAAAGACTATTATAGCTCTCAACCAAAAATAAAAGAGCAATACTTTACACCAAGAGAGGTATGTGAAAAAAATATAATTATTATAAAAATATATAGTAAATGTTATGTATTTAATACTAGAAAAATTTCAAAGAAAATATCCGGGAATTTTCATTAAAAAATTCATAATATTTATCCTCATATAGACCGTAAACGAAAATTCCTAAATTTTTAGCACTTAAAATAAGTGAAAATCAGTGAAATAAATAAAACAAATTTTAGTATATTTACAAATTTAATAAGAATTAACGAGAATACTTCTTAGGAAGCGCTTTCCTATGTGAAGCGGCAAGAATATGAGCTGTTGCTAATAAATTATATAGCAGTGGAGTTCGCTGCGATTGATGTCAGATTTAACAAGTTTAAGAAGATAAATATGAAAAAAGCCGACAAGGAGGAATTAGGGAAGGTAAAAAGTGAAACATAATAAAAAATATATCTGCTAACTTATTTATAAATAATGACTATATATACATTTGTTCATCGATTGTTCCATACAGATTAAAAGTCGTAAGGTATTCTTTATTGTATAAGCAATATTTTTGTTTAAAGGACGATGCACAAACCTGACCATCACGTATCGTGCTTAAACTGATCAGCTAGATATAATTAGTGAAACAACTTCAATGTCGAGTGCATTTATTATTAAATCTAATACTAATATTTTTATATGATATGTTATATACTTACATATATCCGAATAACAAATAAGATAATAAAATACTTACATATATCCGAATAACAAATAAGATAATAAAATATTAAAAAATGAACTTTACTTTTATTATTGTCGCAATTTAATAAAAATAATTGAGACAAATTTATGATTAAGAGATATTAAAGTTAAAATAATATTACGCATAATTTATTAAGCTAATTTAAATACTAATTGAATTTTTAGTAAATGAATCCTTAAATTAATAATCAAGAATATATAATCAATGTAAAGGCATGGTGTATACAGTGATATAAAAACAATTGAAGTCAATGCGTTGGATGTAAGTTGCGCATAATTTATCTTTATTAAAGTCCCTCGTTTAATCGCCTGTTTAAATGCAACCCTATTTACTTTTGTGTTTATATCTATATAAGAATACAGGCGCGAGGAAAAAGATTCGCAAAACAATCGATAAAGAAACAAAATAAAAAAGTTCAATTTTTAGCTCCAATGTTATTATCTTAATGTTTAGTTTTTATTTTTTTTTCCATATATCTCGTCTTTTATTTTTTTAGGACTTTTCCTCGAAACCAATCTTGCATCCACCTCCTGGTCATTCGCCATCCATTCGAACGCGATTTGTGGGTAATCTATCATCATTCCGGGACAAGGAGGAGACGGAGATACGAGAAGAGCGTGTCATGGAACAGCTAAAAGTCACGAACAATACACGATTGATAGCAGAAGAAAGCGAGCTTGGCGGAAGGAACCGCTACATGGCTGATGGGTTTCTTAATTCCACCGATTGCAATCTGCTCATGCAACTTGCCCAGGTGTCGAAATTAGCTTTACCAATCGAACATTAAACGATTACGAAACATTTTTCTTCTTAATTCTTTTGCATTATGGTTTTGATAACATTTCAATTATAAGTTTCAAATAGAATAAATTTGAATGAAATTTTATCTTCGTTAAAGCAAAGATTTGTATATAAAAATATTATATGAATAATTCATAAATTTTAGATTGCTGTGGAAGGAGACGGCTATGAAGAAAACAAAAGTCCACATTCGTCTTATGAGCGTTTCGAAGGTGTAACCATTGGTAGAATAGCCTTGGTAAAGATATATTGATATCCGGGAACATTCTTTATTATGTTCCTTCTATATTTATTGTTTTTCTCATTTTGGCAAAATTTATTATCATCTTATAAAAAATTGTAGATGGTCTACTTCGGTCTAACAAAGCCAGAATTACTGAAGCTATTTCTGCAACACACAGAAGAAGCTCGTAATCACGTGGAAAGGTATTTCAACCTTGATCGACCATTGTATTTCACCTACACCCATTTGGTCTGCCGAACAGCTTTACTCGGTAATTTTCATCTGACGCATCCTCGTGCTTCTGACGACATTTTCGCTGGCATGCTCGCATCATAACATTTGGTACGGCATTGAACATATAAAACAATCGATCAGATCATATTTTATTGTGGGTCGGTTCGCTTACAACATTTGATTTTATTTTCATAACTCCTTTTATTAACAAAATGATATCATCATTATATAAAATATAATTAGTATAGTAAAATATATTTTCTATCAAGTAATGTAACAAGCTGTCTAAGGAAGGCTGAAGAAGATTAGATATATATATCTGTTAGTTTCTAGGAAATTCATTATATCATTATTTTCAGATTCGCCGGCGAATAGAACTGATCTTAGTCATGAGATTCATGCTGATAACTGCGTAATAAAAGACGATGGTTCCTGCTTGCGAGAAGATCCCGCGTATACGTGGCGGGATTATTCAGCGATTTTATATCTCAATGATGATTTCGATGGCGGCGAGTTCTTTTTCGTAGAAGACTGGAAGAGACGTCGCGTCCAAGGTATTGTTCGGCCTCGGTGCGGACGTATGGTGGCTTTTTCCGCCGGCGGTGAAAATCTTCATGGCGTCCAAGGCGTACGTAGTGGCAAGAGGTGCGCAGTGGCGTTATGGTTCACTCAGGATGAAAAATATTTGGAGTATGAGAGGGTAGTGGCGAATACTGTGTTGCAGAGAGTCCACACTTTGGGTACCGTGCAACGTGAGGATACCCAAATACCATTGAAGTAAGAATAGAATTTATTATACATTCTATATAAAGATCCCTCAGGACATTATGTAGAAGAGAAGGAGCGTTAATATTTAATTTTTATAATTGTGCAATTATTAAGTCTAAAATGCATGTTTAATATCATTATACGAAAATATAATTAATTTACATTATATTTTCATGTATAACAAAAATATTCGATAAATCTTTAATTACAAAATTATGTTCATATTGTATCCTTACGTTTTTAAATCATATGGTAATAAAAATTTTAATAGAAAATTTCATATATAAATTCATGTTTCTATGACTGTAAATGAAATAATAAATGACATGACAAACATGACATAATTAAGAGAACAAACTAAAATAAAAAAATAGTTACAATAGTGTATATACAAATAGTCTGATATTATATAGAATTAAAGATTAATGGATTAAAAAGTTGAGCATATTTCTTTCAAAATTCTATTTTCTCGTGAGTTTTCTGTCAAATAAAGATCAAATAAAGTATAACATTTCTATTTTAGATATGAAGACACACTGATCCAATGTTTCAAAGAAGATGAGATGTTGAGACAGATATTGAGAGAATTTACGCGAGAAGGCACCAAAAATTGATAAAAATTGATAGCAATTTACACAAGATTCAAATGTCCAAGCAAGTAAAAAAAAGAGAGACAAATGTAGTAAGTATAACAAAAATTAATATATTGATCAATTCGTAATTTAAAAACTTTGTAGATAAAAGTGATTTATCTATAAAGATGAAAAGTCTAGAAAATATAGAACATATTCCTTGATAAATAGATGGATCATGCAACTACAGAGAGATTCGAGAGTTTTTAAATCATATTTTACAACAGTAAATTATACATCTATTATTATAGTACGATACTAACATTTACGTATTAGTATAAATTAGTCAAATAGTGTTTAAAGAAACAGACGAAATATGTTACTCCTAGAATACTTACTCGAGTAGTTTAATGCGCGTATCTGGATTTGATTTACGCGACAAGATCGTTATAGAACAATGTGGGCTTCTACTCAATAATCTTACTGTGTTTAATTCAAGTTTCTAGTCGGCGTGTACAATAAAACGCACAAACTTACCTCGCATATCTTGCACACAGTCGTAGTCAGTTATATTTATATAATTATTTATATAATTCAATTCTAAGCTATCATTTGAGTTCAATTGAACCTACTCAAAATTTGATCGGTTCAGCTGTTATTGAGATAAGAGTCTCTTTAACTAGTCGACTCCTGTATTATAGATAAGTGATGATATATATGATTGCGTGTACACTTGACGCGGATATTATATCTCTTGATAAATTATCTATTAATTAATAATTATTTTATGTATCAAAGTATGTGTTTAAGCGATGCTGTCGCAATTGCAACAATTGTTATAGAAAATATCTTATAGAAAATATCCTAAATCTTTATTAGAACATAGGACATATTACATGTCAACAAGTTTACATAACCGCTCGCTATGCATCGCGCAATATTTGTATCGCATTATTTTACAGTTTTCGTATTTGTATTATGTATAAGAAATTACGCCTGTGTTATGTACGCGATTGCGTTGCAATTCCCTTATTCCTTCTCTTCTTTTTTTTCCTCTTTTACCGCGCAACTAGTACGTGATGGACACTTATACGTCTCTTTGTAAAATCAATTCCATTGATTAAGCGTGCGTGTAGTATTAATCATTCATGATTACAAATTTTCTTATCGAAATAATCGACATCCGCGATTTGTCCGCGTTGTTATCGTAATTGAAGAACAAATAGAAAAACGCATTTATCAACGGACAAAACGGAAACGACTTAGGATGGAGGGAGGAAGATAAGAGGGTAAAAATTAAAACTCAAATCCTCCATTTTTTGAGAAAATTATGGAAGAATGTTCTAAGGAGAGATAGAATTAAAGAAAAGGGATTTACAATTAGTTGCAGTAACTTCGGTTATTAAAATCAGTCTGAGTAATCTTTAAAAGGTTCTATTTTCGTCGTTCATTGTTTGTTAAAAAGCTATTATCGTAATATATTGATGCATGCAAACAAATATTAAATTTGAATAATCTGGATTCTATATTACTTATTGTATATTTTTCTTATATGTTTCAAGTAAATGCAGAGAAAGAACCTGTTAGCATTCAAATCTTCTAATCTAATTTAAAAAAATCTAATTTTAATGTAAAATTTGGGAATTTTGTTCATATATTTAAATATGTAGAAAGAATTTTCCAATTTCAAATTAAAAGTAGATTAAGTTAAGTCAGAGAGGTTCATTAAAATAGAAATGTTTATTAAAAAGAAGAGGTGGATGCCTCTTTTATACTTTACAATAAATATACATATAATACAGAATTCATAATTAATAACACTTTATTTTGTGTTAATAACTTTTTAATAAACAATAAGTGACAAATTAACGTGACAAATTAACGAGTATTCAAGTTCATAATGATATATATTAAGATCCCATCCGAATTGGGTTCCTTTTTCCTATAATCTTATACGCAGAGTTAACTAAAAATCGTCAAGTTTCTATTTTCAGATTATTGTATAAATGTAACAAAAAGAAAGAAACAAATAAATCTTATCTACAAGAATAATAATTTTTGAAATTTCCGTAATTTTAGGCCTGTCGTTTTAATAACATTTGGTAAATCTAAATGTATATCCTTCCTTCTTCTTCTTTCAAAATTTAAATACGGAGACCTAACGATTGTTGCATTCGTTTTTACTTCTTTAACCTCATATTTTAATTAAAATTTTTAACTGAACGCATACAGAAGCAATAAAATCGCAATAATTCAACAAAAAATTGGAGAACATGAATTTTGGTCTTATATCCCACATGTTCCTCGGCGAGTCGTTATTATCATCATCATTTCGGGATCAATCGGGAAGAAAGCGATTAGATAACGCGATTACGATACATTGTAACATATATGTATGTTTCAATACAAATGTTTATTACGAAATTATAGTGACATCTGCGTATCACAGGAGAGCTCAGTCAATTCTTTAGAAACCACTCCATTGTCATGTTATTATAAATGTTGTATTCCAATTATATATAGTACGCAAATTTTTAACGCGAAACAAGAAGATAGCTACAACAATACCGCGTACCATATTAATAATGGAATAAAATCTAGAATTTTTTTCCATTATGATAAATCCTCGAAGTCCGACAATAAACGAAATAGAAAAATAATATCCAACTCGATATCGAACAACACAATTCATTTCGCGCGATAGATTTAATACCTCAAATGGAGTGGTCACTCGAATTTCATCATAGGTCACAGATGTTTTTATATTGCTCTTCGTATAGACCTTGGTGTATCGCCCCTCCTTGCATGACGATTATAATTAAAAAGCAATCTTGAAAGTAATGCTTTCGCGTTATTGGTGAAAAATAGGCGCGCAGAGAGAGAAAGAGAAAAAGAGAAACGTATAGAGAATATCGCAGGAACGCTGAGACGCAACAATAACGACGGCAATTATAATAATCTTTTACTGATCGTAATATTTCAGCAACGAGAAGTATAAGAAAATGATACTTCACGTTTAACATCATGTGATTGTTACAATGAAAAGATGTAAATTGGCGTATTTTAGTGCCCGTTGACTCTTCAACTTTCGAGGTGTTGTCTAAACGAACTTTCTCTATTATTGATAAGATTTAAGTTTCAGTCTAGGAGAATTAAATTCTCTTAGAACCAGAGACAGCGATTACCGCTTGTCATCGATGTAAAACGGAAGAAAATATCGAGTGCGCCGGACTGTATGATTTGAATCAGACTTCTTACAAGAGTTACATTATTTTATGATCTTATATATACATAATATATAAAAAACTGATTCCACGTTTTTCGAAGTGTATTTGAATATAATAAGATATTTGAAGAAACGAAGAATAATTGTTACTTCATAAACATGAAAAAAAATTTATCAATAAAAGATTGACATTTAACTCATTAACGGCCAACAAATTCATTCTCAGCAGACAAAAATTGTGTGTGTATGTATGCGTGCGCATATATTGCGTGTATGTGTGTATGTGTATGCATAATATTCAACAATAAAAATAATTTTGCTTTAACCATGTTTCGTCTATATTATAATGACTTTAAATACCATCATAAGAGATAATCTAAAAATATGTTTAGAGCAAATAAAATTATTTTTGAAACCAATTCTATATTGCACAACATTAAATAATTTACTATCACAATCAATAATCATTATTTTTCTTTAAAAATATGAATGTAATATATATCTTGTGCATGAATTAAATTTGTCAAATCAATTATTGGATCAATCTAATTAAAGATATTCAATTGTCATAATTAATCTTTGAATTTTCAAATGATTAATATCGAGATAAAAAAAAGTAGAGACAAATAAATCGACTGTTTAATAATGCCTTCAGGAAATTGACTTACTTATTAAGAATCAATATCTTGTATAAAATGCCTTAACATTAGTCCGTGATATAATTGATTAAATCAATCAATTTGTATAAAGCAATGAATGTGATTACGATTGCCACCTTTCGAATTTTTTAATATTCCGTTGGAGATTAAGTCCTTTTGCCAGAAATCGGTTGCTATCTCAAAATTACTTTCTTATAGTACTTTCTCTAAAGAAAAAAATTATCATCATTGACGCGCACACTTAAAAAGGTCATCAGAATTTGAATCTCCGACCGAAAATCGAAGAGGAAGCAATCGTGGATGTGACGTGTGAACAAGTGTGATATAACTATAACGAGAATACGCTTTTACAGGCGAAAACGGAACGCGCCACAATCGCAATAGGTACGAAACTTTCAGCATTTTACGTATAATACTAAGAATCTCAGTTTAAAACATTTAGATAAACGACTCTCCTTGTTCGCCGTTAGCTATATCTAAAGCTAAAATTCTGTTATCGACGTCAAAATTGTGTTTTAACATTTAAACGTTCAAAAATACAGAATCGTATTTGATTCGTTTCGCATCCAACATGTACTAATGTTTAAAAAAGTATCGTTGATTTAAACTCTTTATCTCTATTTCTCTTGCTATCGCTTCTCGCTGTCTCGTTATTTCCCCGCCGGCAAAAGTTTTTACTCGCGTTTTATCGTACAGCTTACTATTTAATATTATCATCTTCGCGCGCATAAAAATTAGTGTACGTGCTAGAATCTCTTCGCCGAAAGGCTCGTTCACCACGTGCAAACAATATGCTTCTACCTTCCAAAGTATAAATACTAAATATACATATAATATACTTAAAATCGATATTTATTACTTAATCGTCGTTTATATTTTTTCTCCTTCCGCATGGTTATTAACAATATATAATGTTAACATAACAATATATAATGCTATTGCATTAAAATAATGCAAAACGTAATAATGAAGAGCATTGTACATTATTTTATAGAGGAAAAATAAAAAAACATCGCGACGTATTTTGATTATGTAAAGAGAGAGAAATTGATAAATGGCGGAAGTTATCGTGTCGGAGAGTATGCTGGACACCAAAGATCTTCACGCGAGAATCTCTCTCGTTCGACAGAAAAGACTGCTCGCATATTTATCGTATTCTATTGTAGAAACTTCGTTAAAACAGTAGTATTATTAATTTACGGTAGTACAGTAGTACCTTGATGCAAGGAATATATAAAAAATTAAAAAATATACAAGTTGTATATAAAACACATAGAATGCATATTCGTCATAGTGTGTCCTGCATCAAGTCAGATTTTTGTTTTTCTACCTGTTCTAGTCGCGAAGTCATAAAGGATTGGCTTGCACTTAACAGCAGTATATTTAGCGTCGAACGCGTTATCTTATGTCTAAATTTCCTATTGTATGTAATTGTATGTTCCCATCGAGATAAAATATAGTATGGCTTAATATAAATGAAGACTTGAAAGACTTCGGCGTTGAATATGCAGAGAGAACATGGATCACATTTGTTCCATGAGAAAAGGAGTATTACTTCGGCTGTAAAAACGCCTTTTCTCTATCTATTTTTCGGTACATGATTTTTACAAAAAGATCCATTTAATCTTCAGCCGATGCACACTTTGGTATCCAACAAGTTTCTCCATATATAATCAGAATATGAACGATCGATAATCGTGATATGGGCAGTGAATGATTAAGCAAGTACCAATATTAAATGGGCTGGCTCTCCCATTGAGGCGCCCATTCTGGAAGTCGTCAATCTGCATTAGATGGCGGTGCGGCGTATCTTGAACGCGAATCCGAGTCTCCGTCGCATATGTATTTTCCTGAAATAATTCAAACTGTGATAACTAGTGAAAGTTAAATCATGAAGATTATGCTTTTCGATCATTTCTTTTTTTATTAATAAATAATTAACATTTAAAAGGACACTGAAACTCTTTACATCCTTCTTATAACAAAATTTAAAACATTTAATGTTTATAAATTTTAATTTATATTTAAACAATCTTTTTAAGCAATTTTGTAATAGTACCATTTTTGAGGTACAGAATGGCAATCAGGAAGTTGCTTTAGTTAAACGATAAAAAAATTTTATCTTGTAGCTATTATTTTGTAATGAATATACAGAATGAATATTGCTCTGTAGCAGCTTGTTATTTTTATTAACACAAATAAATGTATGATTTAAATTTATCAATTATATATAACAATTATATAACAATTATATCTTAATTTTATCAATTATATATAACAATTATATATAATCCTTAATTTTAAAAACTAATGTATTTTGGCATACTTTGCATAAATCAAGGGTTAAAAGTTTTTGTGGGCTTATCCTAATTCATGTCAGTTCATCCTTTATTAATAATGTTTATTATAACGAATTTCTCGTTATAAAAAATGTTTTTAATAGCGCAAAAAATATTTTTTTCATATAACTTTTTGTGTAATCATCCAAAGATTAAAAAATTCCTAATTATATAATTAACGTACCAGACACAAATTTTCGCTTCACCAAACTCAACCGATATCCAGATCCTATAAGCTCAAATTCGACACCCGACAATGTGGTCCCTTCGCAATTGAACTGTGTAAATATCGTGCCCTGATTGCCCGGGCCGCGTTCGAGCTCGACTCGCGCCTTCAAGGATCCGACTCCGTTACCCTCGCTGTGTTGCGAAAGCTCCGTAAATTTCCATAGTACGCGATTCGTGTCTGGCAGCCACTGTGCCGACGGTTTACTATTGAACGATTTAAAACCGCCATCAATAGGCGCAGCAACATGGAGATTCAGTAGAGGGCTCGGCGAGGCCATGGCGCGACTGTTATACTTATAATCGATCTAAAATCAAAAACATTAATTTGCAACGACTACGACATCAAGCGAGATAGACGAAATTGTCGCTTTTGTTTCTTTCAAGCATCTTTTCTCTTTAAAAAATAGCCAAATATTTTACCTTGAGATCGGTGTGGGTCGTCTCACATTTCCAATATGCGACCAATTGAAAAGGACATGAACCAGCACCTTCCTTGCATTTGATTTGATATTTGAGGATGTCTACATTGAAATACGAGGCCGAGGGATTCTGTTCAGCTTGCCGCCGAAGCAACATAGTTAAGGCACTCATGTTGAATTCGAAGATTGTACTATCGACGGTAGTTTGAGTTGCGTCCCTGTAAATACAATCTCCTCTTTCACCAAGTTGTCTTTTTTCGCTTTAAGGATCAAAGCAAAGTTAGTAAACATGACTTACATGCTGATAAGTTGGCTGTTTGGCAACAGTCTCTCCAACCTATTGGTGTTCCTCACACGGAAGGTCAGCTTGGCAGGACTGGGATTATTCGCTAGGACTGTGACGATGCCAGCCGGAAACGAGAGCATCATGTCACCGCTTAGCTTTACTTGGCATCGGGTTTCGTCCGTGCCACGAAAATAGGAATGCACTATCTCATGGAAAGCGACTGCCAACGGAATGGTGTCCGCTAGGCCGATCGTGAGTGGAGATGGTCCCCGCGAGGATCCCACGCCCACGCCAGCAGTGCGAAATTCCAGACTGGCGACGCTATCAGCCCGAGATATCGTCGCAGGTGACATCCTACCGC